GAATAATAACATAATCCAAACACTCAAATTATATGTGAATTTTTTTCACGCAAAAAGTCCTTTATTCAATCAAAAAAGAAACAAGCATTATAAAAGAACTAGAAGCCCATTGCACGAAGATTTGCGCAATAGGCCTTCCTTCCCTTGGCTGCTGGCACCAGTTTTCCTCTGGCACCTGGGCCCCAGGCCTTTGAGACAGATGTTACAATAACTGTGATTATGGTTTGTAAGAAATCCTGAGTGTACATAGTTGATGAATGTACATCTGTGTTTACATTTTAAAATATCAATCAACATCATTAGATAAATTGATAGATGGTGGTTGGTAAGGAATATTTGATCACATATGCTTTGCTTTTGGTGGAAATTTGGGCTAAAATATTTCATATCGTATCAATGTTTTTTTTCCTATTTGAGGTTATATCGAGGTCATATTTACTTAGGTAATACTTTCTATCGCATTCAGAATTGTATTAATCTTTTTAATTTAGACCCCAAGCTATAAATGAATATGAGAGCTATTTTTTCTCTTTTTTTAATAAAAATTTTTTTTTATTGATTTCAGAGAGGGAGAGGGAGAGATAAACATTAATGATAAGAGAATCATTGATTGGCTGTCTCCAGCATTCCCCCTACTGGGGATTGAACCTGCACCCTGGGCATATACCCTGATTGGAACTGAACCTCAACCTCCTATTCATAGGTCAATATTCAACTACTGAACCACACCAGCCAGGCTATTTTTGTTTTTTAACATTTGTCATTTGTATATATGTGTATGTATTATATATTTACATATAGTATATTGATATATGCATGCATTATATATTTATATAGTATATATATGTTAGAAAGAAAATGCTATCAGCCTTACATATTTGCATGGGATGAGTGTTTACAAGGTAATGAAAAGGCTTGGTATATTCACTGGGCTTGTATTACCAGGAGCCTTATTGCAAGATTGAAAACACATACAGAGTACATGTTCAGCAGCAGTAGGAACTTGTCCTTAGCCTAAGCTTGTTTAATCTAAAACACAGACCTGCCCAGGAGCTCTGGAGTCCTGACTAATGGTCTAACATGGGCCATTTACCAGAGAAATGAAGAATCTTCCTTGAAATAATTGACTGTAAGCAAATAGGAAATGAAAATACTTAAGCTGGTTTCAAGAAAATTGCTAACAGGTGAATGTGAGGTGTGGTTTTGGTTTTACATGGTACCTGCTACTCAGATTCATCTGATGTATCTTCAAAACTGAGACATATGAAGATGGAGTGTATGAAACAACTTTAGATTCTCATTAGACACTTTCAAACATTCTATGTCAGGGCCAGCCTGACAAGGTTGAGCCTGGCTGAGGCAGGGAGGTGGGAATTGAGAAAAGAAAGAAAGACAGGAAAGCAGGGTCGGGAGGACCCCAGTTCTCTTGATGAACTGAAGCGAGTTTATTAGCCACACAATCTTATTTATACACAACACACTGAATAGGAGGTCTGTCAGGAGGAATGTATTCTTTGTTCCTCTTAATCGCTAAGGGAGAGACACAGCAGAAGGACAAGTTCTCAGTATAGCATATCTCAGTAAATAATTACAGACTTCTTGGTAAGCTATGAAAGGCTGTTCTCATTCCACAAATGTTGCTCTCATTCTACTGATAATCGCCATCCAAACAAGTCTGGGAAAACTGTGTGGGTAAGGGTCCCAGCCTCGCTAGCCCCTTCAGGTGCAAGAACCTTGCCAGCTTACATCTGGCCCCCAACAATTCTCGGACATCTGTCAGGAGCTACAAGCACCATCACATTGTCACTGATCTAATGGAGTCTATTTTCCTGACACACAATATTGTTTTATCACAACATTCCACTGTGTAGTTTTATTCCTACCTAGGAAAGTTCATAAAGAGAAATCACACAAATAAAAGTATTTATGATATATATAATAATTAATGTGGTATATAGGTAACATAAGGCACTTTTTGTGGGGTTTTTAGGTGCTTTCTTCTTTTTGATACACTAATATGTGTTTGATTTTAGGTTTCCTCAAGAACTGAACATGGGAAAAATAAGTGCTGAGATTATGTGGACCCTTTTTGCTCTGGATATGAAATATGCACTAGAAGGTAATTCCAAATATCTATTCACATTAGACCACACATTTTAGTGGAATCGTTATTTCTTGTTCCTGTTTTTAAATGCAATAATTTATTAATTAAAACATTGATTGTTTCATATGATAGTTCTATTTTTTAAATTCTTTATTGTTTAAAAAATTATATATGTCTCCATTTTCCCCCATTGACCTCTACCCAGCCACTCTCACCGCCCCCAGCACATGCCCTCACCCCCTTGTGTCTGTGTCCATTAGTTATGCTCATATGCATACATATAAGTCCTTTGGTTGACTCTTACTCCTCCCCTGCCTTTCCTCTGAATTTTAATGGTCTGTTTGATGCTTCTCTCTCTCTGGGTCTATTTTTGTTCATCAGTTTGTGTTGTCTATTATATTCCATATATGAGTGAGATCATGTGATATTTATCTTTCTCTGATTGGCTTATTTAGCTTAGCATAATTCTTTCCAGGTTCATCCATATCGTTGTGAATGGTAAGAGTTCTTTATTTTTTTTAGCAACATAGTATTCCATTGTGTAGATGTGTCACAACTTTTTAATTCATTCATCTACTAACAGGCACTTAGGCTGTTTCCAAATCTTAGCTATTGTAAATTGTGCTGCTATGAACATAGGGGTACATATGTCCTTTCTGATTGGTGTTTCTGGTTTCTTGGGATATAGTTCTAGAAATAGGATTACTAGGTCGAATGGGAGTTTTATTTTTAATTTTTTTGAGAAAACTCCATACTGTTCTCCACAGTGGCTGCACCAGTCTGCATTCCCACCAGCAGTGCATGAGGGTTCCTTTTTTTCCACATCCTTGCCAACACTTGTCGTTTGTTGATTTGTTGACAATAGCCATTTTGACGTGTGAGATGGTACCTCATTGTTGTTTTGATTTGCATCTCTCAGATGATTAGTGAATTTGAGCATGTTATCCTATTTTTTTATGTTGTGAAAAAACTCCATACTGTTTTTAATAGTTGATGCACCTTTTATAATCCCAGCAATAGTGCACGAGGGTTCCCTTTTCTCCACATCTTCTCCAACACCTGTTGTTTGTTGTTTTACTGATGATAGCCATTCTGACAGGTGTGAGGTAATATCTCATTGTGGTTTTAACTTGTAGTTTTCCTGATGATTAGTGATGTGGAGCATCTTTTCATGTCTATTGGCCATTTGAATGTCCTCTTTGAAGAAATGTCAGTTCAGGTCCTCTGGCCTTTTCATTTAATCAGAATTGTTTGGTTTTCTTGGTGATAAAGTATGTAAGTTCCTTAGATATTTTGAGTGTTAATCACTTATCGAATATATCATCACAAAATAAAACAAAACAAAAACAACCCCAAAACCTTGTGAACAGTTTAGTTCTAAAAAAGTATTCCTACAATATAGTAAGAAAATTTTCTCAAAGTATTTAAAAGCAATAAGAAGTGCATACATTTTCATCAAATGGTCTAAGGTGCAGGATCATAGTGACATCTCATTTGTAAGATAATGCTCAGATGCAGGACTACTTGATGGTAGTTTATTGGCCATGTTGAGAGTGTAGATAATCATCTGCATGGGCGTGGAAATGGTAGCCAAGGCGAGGCAGGTTAAAATCCAGCTGAAGCTTGCACAGGGCAATAGCAAGGCTCTTCACCAGAAACTTCACTTTTAATAAATCTAAGTCATACAATGTAAAGCAAAGGAATGCAGCTCTGAGTTTAAAAATCCTCTAAATATTATTTGAGCACTTCCATGTTTAAAGTGAGAGAGAGAACCACAAACCAGTCTATGGTGTCTATCCTCTAGGAACTTAATAGTCTAGTAGGTAATTATCTTTGCACTTTTTCAACAAATATATATTGAGCCCCTAGAAGCTAAATTCACATAACTGCACTCAGTGTGGAGGCTACAACAATGAACAAGATAGCGATGGTCCCTGGCCACGAGAACTCAGCAGGCCCATTAGCCAGAAAGAGCAAGGGGTGAGGCTGGAGAAAATGATGGGGACCTGCATGCAGGGCCTTGTACCCCTTGGTGAGGTGTGTGACTCTCTGCCTAGAAAATCAGGGGACCATAAAGGGACTTCATCAGGGTCAGGTCTTTCCAGATAAAGCATTTTGACTGCAGGGTGGGAAATAGATTAATACCATAAATAGGGTAAGACTGGTTCAGAGTTCATGCCACCGTTTTCTAGCGTTGCTAAAATGTAAGCTTGCTACTAGGGGACACAGAAGGAACATAAGATGTTTTCCTTGTTTGGAAAAAAAAAAGGTACACAGTAAATTATTTTATCGACTTTTCTGGCAAAGTCTGAGTCTAATCCTTAAGATTACAGCAGGACTGCTCAGAGGGGCACAGTTAGGTACACAGTAAATTATTTTATCGACTTTTCTAGTAAAGTTTGAGTCTACCACCCTGCAAATATAGAGATTTAGCTAATCCTTAAGATTACAGCAGAACTGCTCAGGGGGGCAAAGGTTATATTCTGCAATGCAGTGTTCCTTCTCTGCAGTTTTTATCAGTCCTGCTTTTTCTCTGCCTCCAACCAACCTCCTTTTATACCACTCTGCTCTGATTGTCTCTTTGGAATCCAACAAGTCTCTTAAGTCAAATGGGAACCACCAGTCCACTAACTGGTGAATTTCTTCAGAGAGCAATTTTGCTTCCCTAGTCCTATCCGCTACATTCCTCTGCCTTCCCTGAATGCCTATCAGGCATCTTATACTTCACATGGTCAATATAGAAGTCTGACTCTCCCCTGGCAGAACCTGCCTCTTCCCTCTGGCTGGCCCCCTTCCCTATTGCAATTATTGGCACCACCATTCATGCATTTACTTAAGTCGAACATGTAGGGTTACCGTGGATTCCTTTCTTTTCCCCAGCACACTCAGTTTATCCCAGTTTTGGGCTTTATGCCAGGTCGTCTACTGCCTGGACTTCCCTTTCCACCAGTCTTCACAGCAGCTGTGCAGGGCTCAGCTTCATGCCACCTCCTCAGGATCGAACATCATTCCCAGGAGTAACCTTAGTTGAATCCTTAGCGTAGCCACGAATTACTATCTTTTATTTGCTTGTTTGTGTGTTTCTGCTTGTTCAATGAATATTTCTTAACAGTATTCCCCATTGCAATGTATAATTTTGTCTATGATTTTTACTAACATAGCTATATTGCCTAGAACAATGCCTAGACAATAGAAGCTACTCGGTAACTATTTGTTGCATAAAATGTTTACCAGGTGATTCCAACTCAATGGAGGAATGAAAGGGGCAGTGGTGAAGAATTCCACTTTGATCTTCTTTTGTTATGTGATCTTGGGAACCTTCTGAGAAATCAACAGTTTTGTGTCTCATCATCCTCACCTGTACAATGAAAGGTCCACATTGGATCAATGGGCTGGGCAATGGGCAGGGAGGCTACTGCCCACACTTATGAGAAAATTGATTGCTTGGAACTATTCCAAGGTGGCACGGCTTGCCAGGGCACATTGTATTTGAGCAGGCTTATATCTTTGCTTATGTGGTAGCATGTGTGCAAATATTGGGCATTTTATGTTCCCTTCACTTATAAAACTGTGTGTTAATTTGAGAAATGTAAGTGTAATGTTTGTGTTAAAAAATTTAAAGCTCAAAAATTTATTATTTGTTTGAGACAACAATGAAATTAGAAATGTTACAAGTAAAGCATCTGTAACTTTGAACAGATGCTTATGGATTTTGGTTAATAATTTTGTGCAATAACAGTATCCCAAAATGCAGAGATTATATCTTTAAGAATCAGGTCCAAGATCAATGGTAATTAATCATTTTGTGATTATCTTAGATCTTTTGGAGACAGTTTTATTATTAGTTTGACTTTTCAAATAGCAGATTTGATACTTAAATAATATACCATATAACTTACCTACTTAAAGTATACAGTCAATAGTTGTTACATTTGCTTATTTATACACATTGTCAAGAAGGCCTGTAAGGGAGTACTTGGATTGCAGTTCATGGTTTATGCATCTTCTTACACAGATGAGAGGACTTTTGAGTGCAAACATTATATATGTCATCTTTGTGTTCATTGAATCTTAATAGAAATTCAATAGGCGCTTGTTTATCTGATTCAAATTGCAAATATGACAACCCTGTACAAAGAGCGTTGGAAACAAGGCCAGAACACTTGCCATGTTCA